CCTCTTTCCTCACCTGAATAATAAAATTTCAAAAATCTGAAATTGATTTCTTATGAAGCTTTTCTCTCCTACCCGTGCCGTCCAAAAGGCCCTGTCCACTAAATTCCTTCTCTTTGGGAGCTTTCTATTTGCTGTCTAAGAAATTACAGCAATTCTGTATTGTTTTCCTGCATCTCCAAGAGGTTTTTGCTTTCCAAAAGAGCTCTCCAATGTGGCCAAGCTGCTGCCACCCAAGGAGTAAATCTGCTGTCCAGGATTTCCAAGTACCCAGGCTGCCGCCGTCCAGCAATCATGGCAACCACCTATTACTGTTCTGCTGGCAACGCTTACACCTTCCATCGACTCCTCCAGCTCCGACTAGCTTTTCCATGGGCCGTATTGTAAGCTCCCTCTTCCGCGTGGTGATCATATAAGTATTGCTAATATCTTTCTTCTGTTAACCGCAAGAGAGCTTGAGTGAGGGAAACTCAAGGTGACTTTTCTAAATATTAACCCGTGGATTATTGTTAAAGTGCATTCGTCATTACTTGCATATTTGTTATTGTTTTAAATTGTTGTGCCTAAGGAGTTTGTAACATTGCATAAGTAATTTTGCAACTGAGATTTCATTAAATCATTAATTGTGACTCGTTAATCCTAATATTGGCGTGCTTACTCAGTTGTCTTATTGCATCTCCTTGCAATTCCGATATTGTTCCACATCACGGAGATTGAGGTGATTTGGATGTAATGATGTCCGGTAGTGGTGGTGGAAGGGGAAAGAAAAAAAAAAAGCAAGGAAGAAAACCACAAACCCGGCCGTCTCCAAGGTTGGTGGGTGATCCGATCTCCCTCTCCTAGGGATTTCTCTCCAATCAAGCTCTCAAGCTCTCACAAGAACTCATACAAGGAAGAAATTTTAAACAATCATTCATTCATTACTTGAAAAATAAAACAATGGGCTATAAATAGCCTAGTACATGAGACTCAAGAAATAAAAGACGAAAATGCCCTCGGGGCTTACATACGACATACCTTACTAAAAGGGTACAACTGGAAATCTCATAAAACAAATACAACGACACTGAAAATAGGAAAATACATAAATAAGAAAATACCATGACAACAAAATCAAAAATACAATGACTCGATCGTGGCCGTAGATCGGCGACCACGCCTCTGATAAACCTTCCATGCTTTGATGTCCCCATCACAAAAGCTCAATCTCAAGCTCGGATTTGGCTCATATATTAGACGAGCTTGAGCTCGACAATATTTTATTTGTTGGCTTGCAAGCTCACAAACCAACTTAAATTAATCTTCAATCCTAAATCCCTTTTCTTTCTCCTATGTCATGTTGCTTTAAATAGAACATTGTCATGGATGTTCTTACTAGACATTTGCAAGAGGTTGTACCCTGGTGTATGCTTTTTGCTGATGATATTCTTCTTGTTGATAAGACTAAAGAGGGAAGGTAAACTTGAAATATGGAGGTCAACCTTGGAGTCTAAAGGCTTTCGTTTGAGTAGATCTAAAACTGAATATATAGAGAGTGTAATTTTAATAATAATAAGTCTAGTGGGGGATTAAGACTTTGGGCAATAAAGTCATTAATAAGAGTACACATTTTAGATATCCTGGGCCTATTGTTCAGAGTGATGGTGAAATAGATGGGGATATTATTAGTAGAATTCAAGTTGAATGGTTGAAGTGGAGGAATGCATCGGGCTTGTTGTGTAATAGAAACGTCCCTCTCAAACTTAAGTGAAAATTCTATAAGATGATAGTGAGACTTGAAATGCTTTATGGTGCAGAATGTTGGCCATTAAAAGAGAAGCATAATATTAAGTTAAGTGTTGCAGAGATGAGGATGCTAAGGTGGATGAGTGGCTTTACTCTTAGAGACAGGATATGAAACGAGCATATACTTGAAAAGGTTGGAGTAGCTCCAATAGAAGATAAGATTAGAGAGAGTCGTCTTAGATGGTTTGGTCTCATAAAATAATGGCCTTCTGATGACCCGGTTAGGAAAGTATATGTATTAGAATTGACTTATGTTAAGAAAGGTAGAGATAGACCTAAAAAGACTTAGTAAGACAATATTAGAAATGACATTTCTTTATTAGATTTAGATGAAAATTTGACTCTTAACATGACACAATGGAGAAAAGGGAATCATGTAGCCGACCCCACAGTGGGATAAAGGCTTGTTGTTGTTGTTGTATTGTTGATCTCACCTCAAACCCTAGTATCGTGAGCTCTTTAATCGCACCTAGGGGTATAAGTGAGATTTTAATTGATTTATGATAGATTTGAATGCAATATGAGAGCTCAATTATGGGCAAAAATAGGTTGTTATTGCTCTCTATTCGCTTCAAAAAAATGAGATTTTACCTTAGGAGAATATTTTTAAATCCCTTTTTTGATTTGCAAAGGTTTTTCTAGGGGATGTTTGGTTACAAAACTTATTCATGATTTAGGCTAAATCTTGCCTATTGATTTTCTTTGCATAAATCCTACTACCTTCTTAGATTTTCCTCCCATTTTAGTCTAAATTCCATATTTAGGGGTTATTTGATCGGAGAAAAAAGGAATGCGTTCATTTTTTTTATTTTGTGGCGTTTGGTTGGACAGAGTGTAAAATAAAGTAAAATACTAATGTCTTAGGAAGTCACCGTTGCAACTCATTCTAAGTGTAAAGTAAAACCGCCCAATTTCAGGCGAAAAAGGAATTCAAGAGGGCAAGAGAGAAGTCGTGGAAACCCATCGTTTCTTTCTCCATTGTCGTGGAAACCCTCGTCGTTCTTCCAACTTCGGTGTTTCGCGTGAGGTAGAGTTTTGCCCGACTAGCTTCTTCGGCTCCTTCGTTGCTATTCGACTTCATTCCAATGATGTTCCCTTCATGTTGGATCAAAAGGCACGGAAGCAATTACGGGAGCTCACTCCTTTTCATGCTTCTTCGGCCAAATCCTGTAAAGGGGGAGACGGAGGATTTATGCCGTCATGATGTTTAGCGGGCGCTCAAATCCTGAGAAGTAGAGATCATAAATAGATGGAGAGAGAATTTATGCTAGAAAGCGAATAACAATACAAGTGGCTGGATGGGAGATTGCCTTTTCTTTGCTTCCTCTTCCTCCTCGCTCACTCTCTCACCCCCTCAACTTACATGCTTTGTTCGTCTCCCTACCCCTTCCTCCTCGCTTTGCTCTTCAAATCCTTGTCAAATGGTTCATGGGTCATATTTTGTGTATATATTAGCACGGCATAGATTTCGCTAAAATTTGTTGGTAAGACTGAGATTAGTTTATTTGGATGTGAAATGTTAATGTCTTCTCGTGATTTCCTATTCATAATTAGAGTACGTTTGGAATAATCGGAGATTTGGACGGTGGAGGGTGTCATGGAAAATAGTAGGGGGAGATTTGTGTTTCGAGTGAATGAGAGTGGAGGGACCTAATCTTATGAAATTGGAATGAAGCTTGCCAGTTCACTTTTTTGGAGTTGGTTTGAGGCTGGTTGTTTCCCCCAAAACCTTGCAGGATCATTTACTCGGGGTGCAGATAATTTTATGGATCCCATCTGTAGTTGGACGTGAATATTGATACTCATATCTTCTAATTTTTTTGCTTTTATATATTTCTACACTTTTGTAAATGCATTGTTGAGATACCTTTGTAATATATCTTCTTTGATAAAAATATAGAGCCGTGATAGCTCTTTAACAATATTTTTTATTAAAGTACACAAAATCTTTAAATCTCATAAAATTATTATTATTATTAATATGGACTCAAACTAATTGATCAAATTAGAATATTTTCACTTTACTTTATAGATACCAAATTAAATGATATCTAAGTATTTAGAATACACTGATTTTACTTTAGTCTGCATACACCCAACCAAACATAAAAAACAATTTACATGCATTCACTTTACAAACAACCAAACAACCTCAAAATATTTATTTTACACTACATTACTTTATATTGTATTCATTTTATAGCCAATCAAACAACCCCTTAGTAAATCCTAGGGAAAGTATAATTTAAGATATTTATACTACTAATAATTGTACATTGTCTTCTCCATCATTTGAATCATAAAACATAAAAAAAAAATGTTAAATTGTTACAATCCTAGAGGATCTTAAGGGATAAACAACAATTTTGAACTCATCAGCAACTCCAAATATCGGGATATTGGTGGAGGAGGAAAAACTCATTAGAGGGTTTTCTTGTATACCATATACTCCCCAATAGGAAGTAAAAATAGAGCTACAAGACAACTTATGACTCCTTTTAACTATCTATTACATTTATTAACCCATAAAACCCGTTATAGATGCCTAACACAAACCATTTACAATTATTAAATTAGATTTAATATTTATCATGCCAAAGAATTTTTAGAACTTAATGCCTTCGGGATTTTCTAAATTTGGATTTATAATATTTACTACAGCTTACTTGCATTAAGTCCTACCTGTAGCCAAACAGATTCTTAACAAGAGCAGGAAGGGAGCAAAGACAGTAAGTAACTGATTGGGCAGAGTCGGCTTCTTACTGTAACAAACTTAATCATATCATAACTTAATTTGTCAATTAGATCAATTGAACTGGCTCACTTGGTACCGCATATGCTTCCTGACTTTAAGCTAAGCGCCGAGCTTGAATCATATAGACACAAATATTTTGGCCATTCCAATAAACAAAAGACGATGACAAAAAAAGGGTTTCACTATATAAGATCGAGAATGGAAATCAAGTTCCAGCAATCAAATTTCCGGGATCAGATTTTTTTTCTGAAAAGGAAAAGGAGGCAAGAGTGCGAAAGAAGAAACCCCGTCTAGTTAAGACGATACTTTTTTTCATATTCCTTGCCGAAAATAACACCTGCAATGTAAACCACAAGCTAATGGAACCGAAATAACGATTGACTGCACCTCGAAATAAAATAATCCAATCGTCACCAAACGCAACCGCAGATTGAGAAAGATTAGGACGATAGATATCCCATACCTGATCCCCAGGCAGACCGTCACCGTGCTCTCTCCTTCAGACCAGTGGCCACCGTTGGCTCTGTCTACAAAGTACAAACCCTATAGTCGCAATGCGGCTTCGCCGAAATCGATAAGAACGAAAAATAAAAAATAAAAAATAAATAAATAAAAATAAATTAAAAAAAACAAAACAATACAATACAAAAATCGATAAGAAGGAAATAGAGAAATTATTGAGTGCGGAATCAAGACTCCGATAATATGCTGATATCTTATTTTTTATTTTATTTTTTTGAAAAAATAGGGGCAAGGCCTACTCATTTAAATTAAGAAATCATAATTAAAGAAAATTTACAAGTACAAAACAAAAGAAAATAAAATTGGAGCGTACTTAGAGCAAAAATTGAGCAAAGGCTCTAAAAGATAAAGCCCAAAAGCTATCTCACAAAATAACAAATTAATAGACAACAAAGTGAATAAGCAAAATCAGCAAAATGTCAAGACTCAGGTTCCATGAGTTATCAATCGACTAATCAGCTGTAAGTGGCTCCTTTGGTTGCCCGAAGTCCGTTCATAGGGAAAACCCAGACGAGTAAACATCATCATCCGTGGCATCAAAAAACTCATCCATAATCAAAACAGCGATCTACAACAGCGAAACGAGGGCCACAATCTGCACAATTGAAATTCCATCAAATATATAAATAGAAACCTCCATCTGTGGGATAAAATGCAGCATAAAGCTAACTGCCCCAAAGCCAACAGTTGAGAAATCATATAAGAATAATCATATCCGAGCAAGAAAAAACAAAGGCAACTTCATACATGCTGCAATAAAGAAATTTAGAGTAATTCTCTAAAACAGGCTAATAAGGGAACACGACAAGGCAGCCATAACCACCAACCAAGAAGTTATTATGAGACATAAAGCATATGTTTATCCTCATTCTTCCATTTAGAAATTTAAGACAAATAGCCTTAAAGATAGAGATGCGAACAATGGCTTTACTACAGTGCTTATTACTAAAAAATTTGGCATTTCTTTCCCTCCATATATGATAGAAGGAACACCAAAACACAAGCATGTAAAAAAAACTTCTATCCCCAAAAAAAATGGGCAAAATGAAAGAATTAAGGCAGCGGATCAGATCGATAATGATGGAATATGTATAATACAATCAAAAAATAAGTGAGTAGAGCTTTCATGCATTGCATTACACAAACAAGACATTAGATCCACCTGCATATTACGCTTAATCAACACATCAAAAGTTTTAAGCCCACCAACCATGCTCAGCCAACCATAAACTGAAAAGTGAATAGCAACATGCCTATGCCATGCATTTTTGTGCCAAGACACCTCTTCCTAGTTAGAATAGAAGTCATGTAAATAATCACCAAAACATCCCACTCTCTCATTCCTCCATAACAAACTAGCAGCATCAAAATGAATTGGAGTAACAAGTATAATGGAAATGATTGGATCATTAATACCCGCATGAAATTTCCAACCATTTGAGTTCAGAATAATCGAGATAGGAGAGTCGGGAGAAAAGGCATTAATAATAGCAGAATTATGAGGTAAATCGTTAAAACATTCACCATTGCACCAATGATCCCACAATAAAGAGATTGGAGAGTTAACATTAACATTAAAATTAAAACTCCCTTTTGCATAACGGCCAGTTTCACAGATACATTTCCACCATGAGGAGGCCAACATAGAAGCAGGTTTCCAAGGAGAGCAGCAAATGAAATATAACCAATTAGCAAGGGGAGAGTGTACATTGTACATACTAGATATTATATAGTAGTTGAAAGCAAATCTAATGGCATAAATGGAGGGGAGCCCCAAACCACTAGCCTCCTTAGGTTTGCAAGTGTTTTTTCCTTGAAATGAGATGTAATTTCCTTCCCACTAGATCTCCATGGTATAAAATATAACATAGAGTTTATCAATTTGCTTACAAAAACTCTTTGGTACAATAGCGTCACGAATCCAATAGATAGTGGTGTTCCATATAGTATATCTCAAAAACTGCAATCTACCTACAAAAGAAAGAAGCTTTGCTTTCCAACCGAAAAGCTTGTTAGAAATGACATCCAAAAGCGAAAAGAAATCAGAAATCCAAGCCCTCTTGATAGAGATAAGAATCCCCAAATAACATATCTTGGTGAGGCAATTGGTGATATTGAGAGCAGAGCAAGTTTCATTAGAGTGAGGGGCATTGGGGTGCATGATAAGAGAGCTTTTCTCTGTATTTACAATAAGGCCAGAAGAGTCAGCAAACTTGCTATGGATATTCATCAAATTATTGTAATTAATAATAGCTGCTTTCCCAAAAACCAAAACATGTAAGCATATAGGAGATGAGAAAGGCAAAAACCTTTAAATTTGAAAGGTTCAAAAGCCACCCCATCCACAGAAGAGTCAAGAAGGCTTGAGAAAGCATCCATAGAAAAACAGAAAAGATAGGGGCTCAAAGGGCATCACTGTCTAAGCCTAGTAGAAAATAGAAAGAAGCCTCAAACTCCCCATCCACATAAATAGAGAAATGAACATTCATAATACAAGACTTGACCCACTCAATAAATATAGGAGGGATGTTTTTTTTGAGCCATTCTAGAAAGAATGAATTCTCTTGAGACCAAATCAAATGCTTTCTTGATGTCAAGCTTAGCACACATAAAGTTTGATATGTTGCATTTTTTAAAAAATCTCAAAACTTTAGATGCAAGGATTACATTATCCGTAGATATCCTTTTGTAAATAATGCCATCTTGGGAGGGATTGGTAAAGATAGGCATGATGTGTTTAAGCTTAGAGACTAAAACTTTGGATATAATATTGTAAATGGTATTGCATAAGGAGATCGGCCTGAAATCCAATATAGATCCCACATGGCTATTTTTAGAAATTAAGGCAATGATAGTGGCCTTGACACTTCTAGGGATATAACCTTTAAGGAAGAAGGATTAAATAGCTTTGCATAAATGAGGTCCAATGATATGCCATCCAATCTTAAAGAAGTGAAAATTAAATCCATCCGGCCCCAACGAGGAGTTAGAAGAGCTAGAAAAAATAGTTGATTTAATCTCATTAGTGGAAATCAATTTAGTAAGTAAAGAAATGAGATGAGGGGGAACAGTGGGACAGGCAAGAAAGCTGCTAAGATCCGGCATAGGGCAGGTAGGAGGATTATAAAGTTTTAAAAAATGTTGAGAGATTCTTTGACAGACATTATATAAGTTGCTAGAACTCCCATCCAAAGCCGCAATAGCATATATATATTCCATTAATATTTTTCCTCATTTGAATTTTAGAATTTAGGAATTTAAGATCATCATCGTCATTTTTAAGCCACTTAGCTTTGGCACGTTTAATAATCCATGAGGCCTAAGTGGAGGAACCATCAGCAATTTTAAAATTTAGATCTTTGAGAGTCAAGTTAAGATATTGATTATTAGTGTTAGCATCCAGCAGAGAGAGAGTAACTTTTTTCTTATTAAGAAGAACTTTCAAAGAGACCTAAATGGTAGAAGAAGTGGCCTAATGCTCTTCTTAATACAGACTTTAAACTTCTTGAGCTTGGTGCATAAGTCCACCAATGCAAAGTTCCAAAAACACTTTAAGGAGTATATCTCAATACTCCTTAAAATTAGTTCAAAATTTTTTTATTTGGAACCTATGATGTTTTGAGTGATTGAGGAAGTCCTTCAGGACAATTAGAGAGTGATCCAAACAGAGAGGCTCCTTCACCAAGTAATAAGAGTTGCGAAAAATACTTAGCCATACATCATTGACTAAAGCATGGTCAAGCTTAATATAAATGGCGTTATATGCTTGTTGATTAAACCAACTGTAGAAGAGGCCACCATATGCCAAATCATTCAGCTGGGCATAAAAAATGAGAGATAAAAGTTACCCAAGTTTACTAAAAAGAAGAATGGAGCCCCCAACTTTTTCATTTTGGAATATGCAACAGTTAAAATCACCTAAAACCATCCACGAACAAGAAGTAGAGCTAGCAATGTATCTAATCTGATTTCGAAGAGACAAGCGATCTTTAATGGTTTTGGAAGCATAAATTACTGAGATTTGAAAAGAAACAATGGAGCCTACCTGAATAATCCCATTAATCAATTCAGATGAATAGGAGGTCAGTTTGAAGGTTAGCGTTGAAGAGGACCACTTTACCAAATCCTCCCCGATTTAGTGCAATCAAAATTATTGAAGCTACTTTCATCATTAAAGATTTTGTGTAAAGCACAAAACAAATATCACTTAGAAAACCAACATTAAGCTTTTCTTTTTCAACGAACTGCTTACAGGTGAATACTTTTTTGGGGTTATTGAAACCCCTAATATTCCAGCATGCTATTGGCGGAAGGATCATTGGGATTTAGAGGTAGAGGTGGAGGGCTTTCTATGGTGCTTGCTTCTGGTTTGTTTAGAAACTTGAGAATTGCTTATAATTGAGGTGGTGGATTTCTATTTTTCATTGAGTTTAGCTTATTCGTTGAGATTGGCTACAAAATATAGCTCTGTAGAAGTAGACTCCACATTGGTTTCTATGAGGGCATCAAATTTGTTAGGGAAGATAATATCATTGGGGGGTGGGCGAAGCAAGGAAGAGTTAATAGTAATTAGGGTATAGCCCTCATTAGTCAGGCTGTTCAAAGTAGAGTCCTCAGTTAGCGAGTTAAGATTAGGAATGGAAGACAAAGGCTTGAAAGAGGGGAGATTGTTATCCAACAAAATAACTAGCTGTATTGGGTCTAAGGGAGCAGAAGAGGGTGGGGGATTAGATGGGTAGGATACCTAACCATGCAAGATACTTTTCCTTTGCAAGAGACTTTCCCTTATTTTAGATAAGTGGTATCCCTTGTCTAATTACATGGTCCTTCCCTATACAGAGGTCATGGCAGGTGATCACCCTTATTCGAGAGATCCAACGAACAAGGGAGCTTTACATTCTGCTGCCCAGAATGAGGGTGAGGGTAGGCCCTGCAAGATGGCAAAGGACGATGATGCCGTGTTCATCGTTATCGGTGACTCCTTAATTGTTCTCCACAAGAAGTTCCATTTCCCAACAACCTTGTAGTGACAACCCCTAGAAGATCTCATCGAGCATGCCTTCCTCCTTTAGGATACCTGACCGTTTACA